CACGACGTGCTTCTCTTCGGATAAAATTATGTAACACACAACATGCAATGGGGATACGTCGTTGCCTACGTGGAGGATAATTGGGCATCAATTTCAAAATTGGAAAACGAGCTTTCAACACACCAAAACACCGCTCAATTATATTACGTAATGAAGAATGCCTATAATTGAATAATTCTATAGGACCTCTTGGTGCTCGACGCGGTCCCCTATAATCACGCAAATGATATCTCTCACCTCGGTAAGGTGCCAAGAATCCAGGCATATTTGTATACCCAGCATCCACAACATAGTAATATCCTGTTAATTAATTCGTTATTTGAATGTGATAATAATGTTAGTAATAAATTCAATTTAATTTTTTATATTTATTCATACCTTCCTCTGGAAAAGGAAATTCATTCTCTGGCCTCAACACTGCATCTGTGAACACTCTAGAATCATTTGCAGTCCCTTCCCATCCGGTGTAAACAAATGTGAACATCATATCGAAAGAGCATGCGCACATAACATTTTGAGTAATAAGAACCTTTCTACCACGGTATGAGGTTTGTTTTTGTGCTGGTGCCCAAGCAGCAACATGTGTCCCGTCAATTGCACCAATACACTTCTACAATATATTGAAAAGTTACTATGTTAAATAATAAAAATAACTAAATGATATATATAGTATCATGTGATCAATTGCAAAATAAAACAAAATATTTCCTCACCTCAAAATAAGGATAATACTTTGGGCTATTCAAGATTTCGGGCGGTGTTTCCCCTCTACTACTTGGGCGTATAATACGTGGTGATAATCCACATAATGCTGTCAACACACGCTTAAATTGTCTGTGAATTGTGTCTTTAGATCGTTGAAAACGCTCAGCCGCAACTCGCATTCGAATACTATGAGAAACTATAAATAAGAAAATACCAACTGCTTCTTGAATACCCACATGTCTATCATGGTGTAAAAGATCTAAAGTCTCAAGGGTTTGACATAACCTTAAAAATACATGTTTGTCCATGCGAAATGAGTCATATATTCTATCCGGATTTCCATTTAACAACTCTTGAACATATTCATGCCCCGATAAAACTGAATTATGGCAAGGAGTCCTATCAACATATGATTGCCAATATTCATAAATATTCATACATATTAGCATATGATGTGCCATTTCTTCAAGTTCTTCCATATCTGAATCACTATCTGAGTTATTGTCTCCATTACTAGTAGACATGTCTAATACCTTCAAATATTCAAATGAAGTAATCATCACTAACATTGAAACAATAATAACATATCCACAACCATACTATTCAAATATAAAAGAACACAAGGACTATCCATTAATATAATAACATATCAAAGATATTCATAAACTCAAATAACACATAATCCATAAACTCAAATAACACATAATCCATAAACTCAAATACATAATCCATAAACACATAATCCATAAACTCAAATAACACATAATCCATAACATATAAAAGAAATTCATAAACTAAAAAACATATAAAAGAAATTCATAATCTCAACTAAAGAGAAACCACAATCATACTAGTATTCCTAAAGACTAGCTAACCAAGATCTCCTCCTAGCATCCGACATTGTAACAAATATTTTTCTCCATTCAATAAGCACAATTTTTTCTAGCATCTTGTTGAATGTGTCATTATCAATATCTCCCATTTCTTCAACAATTCCAATGCATTCTTCAATAGAATACATCTCCTTGGAGGTGCTAGATGCCTCAACACTCTTTTCCTTTTGAATTGTTTGCAATCTTTGACTCATAACTTCACTGCAAACCTCCAAATAGGATTCCATTTTATCCCATTTCTTTGAACGACGCTCAGGTGGGGTAGCAGTTACACTCTTTCTTTTTCCTTTACCATGATCAGTTTCTAGGTTAAAACCATCATCATCCAAGTCAACATCAATATGAACACCAGTGTTAAGGAAATTGTTCTCTAACTCACGCTCCTCATCTGAGTTAGGAGGAAGTTGATTAGAGGCATAACGCAACTGACCGGTTGCAGTAGTGGTGTTGAATATCTCCCCTAAAAGCTGATAGTGCACTAAACCTTGAGTACGATATTGCTTCGCTCTTGGCTTACTCTACAAACCATGACAAATATTATACTCAGACATCATAAGCAATTCACTTAAGTATGTGAAGTGAAGTGAAAAAAAAAACTTAAATAAAGGCTTGGTATACCTTAATGTAACTAGCCCAAACATCCTCTGAGGCTGTGACTGTGTTAGCATTAGGATCCCACCCAAATCCAGTATGCTCAATTAGGTCCGAGAACTCACGATGTGCAATTCGCAACCTATTAAACTTAGACTTAAGTTGCTTAACAGTGCATTTTTTTCCACATTTTGCTAACAACTCCTCGCTTATTTCAGACCAAACTTTCGTTTTAAAGGTTGATGCTTGCAAGTCACCCTTCTTCACATGATCATGCAATATATGTATAAAAAACTCTTCATGTTTGGAAGGCCATTGTACTTTTTCCTCACCATCAACATTCTTAGGAGCCATATCCTTGTAAAGAAAAAACAATTAAGACAATCCAATAATTTATTGCATTTAAGAACATCGCACATATCATCACCACATATATGAATCACATATTTACGAATAAGAAAGCATATCCTTTAAATAAATAAATACAAAGAAAAATTCAATATGAAAACATATATTGTCCTTGCTCCAGTGGTACATTTTTTGCATAAAAAATATGAACATTTTGGTGTTACCTATCCTTAAATCAAATTGTGAATTATGTT